ACTACTTGTAACTCAAGAACGGCAAAATTAGCTAAAAATTGGCGGGTGGAGGTAACTTAGAACCAGGAGACGACCATATGATGCATTTATCCCGTCTTCATTTTTAATTCCTGGAGGAAGACGTCGCGGACAAAAGTTAGTTTATATTATTTTGAGCGAATATGTTCATCATTCAACTCCTTTCTGTGTGTAGTCTTGTAACTTGGCGTAGTCGGAAAAAGGCAATATAATTTATTAAGAGGTGATTTTTAAGACCCATAATAATATGATTTAATCACGTTTTTATTACGAGAAATTACCTTGTTTGTATTTACATCTTCACTATTTGCATTAATCTTTTCTAAAATTGTGTGTCGAAAAGAATCATTATCTTTGGAATCGTTTGAAGTCATAATCGAAACTTTATCTTAAAATTTTAAAAGGAGCATTTAAAATATATTTTTGAAACTACAAAAGATTTTAAAAGCACTTGGCAGTTACAATACAAATCGATTTGACAGTTTGCCTGTCGGATTCTGAATGCTGTCAAGAACTTGACACTGACATTTTGCTGTCAAAGAATACTTTTCTTAGTTTTAAGATTAAAAAAAAACAAATAACAAGCTGAGTTGGCGAGAGGCAGGCGGACGGACATAAACATAAAGGGTTGTAAAACCTTGCGCTCCAAACACTTGTGAGTAGACCAGGGAGATGATAAGTAAAAAGCAAACTGCCACATATTTTGACAACATCTTATTGTCAAAAAGAGACTGGTTTTCGCACCAACAACGAAAGAAAATGCTTTATTGTTCTCAAATATAACATTATTAGTTTAATTAGCCAAATAACCTTCAGACAAAAATGTGATTTTTAAATTATTTTATTGTTTTTAAAACATAACAATTCATTCTGATATTCTGCATGTCTCTATATAATCGTTAAAAGCTTTCACAACCGGAGAACATACCAGGGGTTGATGAGGGTTGCTTTCGTAGCATTGCAACATCTAAACAATTAAAATATGCTTAGTACACCTTCAAACCGTTATAATAGCAATTACAATATAATAATAATTGTTTTCAACTTATATTTGAATAAGGTAGCATTCAAAAAGTCTAATACCTTTGTGCGCCAATTATAGCATGGTTTAACCTTTTCTATTTTCTCTTCTGTTATAATAGGTTCTTCGTATAACTTGTTCGTATTTTCAATTGTCTTTTCATATTCGGTCTCTATGATTTTAGTAATCACTTGGTGTTCATTCTTTAAGCTTTCAATTCTTCCTGACCAATATTTTTGTTCTTCATCTTGAATTTCTTTAAATGGAATGGTTTCATCAAATATAAGTTCATCAGCGCATTCCTATAAAACAATTACATAAAATACACATTTAATATAATAGAATAATTAATTGCTAAGTAAATTGTGACAATAATATTAATAGTACACAGTTTGTAATTGAAATTTGTTTAATGAGAGAACGACAAGAGTACAGCTCTGTCGACCCGATACCTTTGCGTAGTTATAATATTGTCTGGTTTTAAGGCTTCCTATAGAAAGATGAAATTACTGGAAAGCCTTAAACTTACAGCTTCTAAATTATTCTGTACAAAAGTATTTTGGTCTTCAATTGATTTTTCAACTAATATTGCGGGATTAATTTCAATAGTATTGACGAAACTTATTCTTCTTGTATCTTTAGTTATCAAAATACCCATTATTTTATTAAAGGGAAGATAATTATTGAAATTTACGAAAACATTTATAATTTAAAGTTATTCATTTATTTGTCAGTGTCAAATGTTTACTTCATTTTTTTCTCATCGTTGTTGGAAATTATATTTATAAGTAACCAAGTTTAGGTCATTTTATACCGTTTTAATTTACCGTTAGCGAAATTAAAAAATATCGATCATCGGTCATTCATCATTTTTTCATTTTCCAAAAAAATCATCGTCCAGTTCATTTGTCAAGTCACCTGAAGCTCTTTGACCACACGTCTTTCATCAATCTAAGATGTCAGTGTCAATGTCATATATATGTCACTCATTATCAATCGATTGATTTTTCATTTGTGATTTGAAATTTGCGTTTATTTTGTGAATATTACAAAATAATTTAGTAATTACAAATTTCTTAGAAGATATGTTTTCCAAATCATCATAAAATAAATTAAGTAAATAGTACAAAAGTTAAATCATCAATCTGAGTCGAACAGCATCGATATAGTTTCTATTAACTTAATAAATTTCTTGTTTCAGTCAAGATGTCTTTATACGATGACTTAGATACTATAAAAACCCGAACTACAGAAAAAGTAGCGGGATGGTCATCTGGTATTAAATTGTTGCAATCACAATTACAATTGAAAAAAGCTGCCGTTACTCAGCCGAAAAGAGAAGCTTTACGGCGTTCCACTCAAGTATTTAAATTAAATTTTTATATTTGCGTAATCACCTATTTTTTTCTATTAAATTTTGTTACTTAATGTGATTAGGTTCTAACTCCAGTAATTGACTTAAAAAGTAAACAAAAAGATGAGTCCAGTCAAGATGATTCTATATCAAACAATCCAAATTTGCAACCAAAGACTTACACACCTTCTTTAAATGTCACTGATTTTGATTGGAATGTTGCAAATGAGTATGATCCCATGTGGCCGAATGATTACGAAAAAGTGGCAAAGGGTAAGATGTTTTTTCTACTACTTATGAATATTGAATAAATTTTACCTATTCTTTTATTCCAGCACCACCACTAGAAATGATTAATAATTACTTAATGATTTCTAGTGGTAGGTACTAATAGTTGTAACAGTGAAAAATATTTTCTAAATGTTTTTGTTAATAGAGATGCAGAACAAAAGACTACAACTTGATGGAAGTGACAGAATCGACAGAACAGATAGAAAACGTAAATCAAGATTTGGGGATGATGAAGACACAATTCCAGAGAAGACTTTAATTCCCATGGTATGTATATGGTTAACATATTTAAATATGTTGAATATAGTTATGTTTGGATAGTAAAAATGCAACAAAATATCTATATTTTCAGCAACCTGAAGAAGAGGAGGCTGTGGAGAAAACTAAAAGGGCAGTGGGTGCAGCAATAGCGCCCCCGCCATCGCTGACAGTAGAAGCTGCAGCACTCTCTCCACCCTCTCCCTCTGCACCCACCAATGCTCCTGCAGGTGGCTTCTCTATTGGTGGCTATGGTGCCAGCTCTGTTGCTGCCAAAATAATGGCTAAATATGGGTTTAAGGTAAGTATTCCTCGAACAACAAGGGAATAGAAATCAGCAGTATTGATGAATAACTACAAAAAAATTGTTGGTGTATTTTTAGCCTTCTAGGAGTACATCGTTATTCATAGTTTTAGGAGTTGTTGAAAAATATTCATTTTTCCTGCAAGATTCCTCAATTATGCTATACACTTTATTATACTTTGAGTCTATAAATTACAGGAGGGTCAAGGTTTAGGAAAGAAGGAACAGGGAATGTCTGTTGCTTTGCAAGTTGAGAAGACTTCTAAAAGAGGTGGGCGTATTATCCATGAGAAAGATGGAAATACTATGCCTCCGCCTGGCTTTACTATGCCGCCACCACCAGGCCCAGGTTTGAATACTATGAAATTTAAAATATGCTCCGTTGGGAATTTTATTGTTGTTACTACTAAATAAAAACAAATATTTACAGATTCACCTAATGCATCATCAAATTCACCTCAAATGTTAAAATCAGAGCCATCAATTACAGAAATAATGAAGTCACCAAGTAAAGTTGTACTATTAAGAGTAAGTGGCTTAGTTTATTTTATTAAGGGTTTTGCAGATTATGGTGTTAATGATGTTCTGCAACTATACTTATATTTTTTCAGAATATGGTTGGACCTGGTGATGTCGACGAAGAACTTGAACCGGAAGTAAAAGATGAATGCAACACAAAGTATGGTGATGTCATAAAAGTGGTTATTTTCGAAATGCCCAACGCACCTAATGATGAGGCAGTGAGAATATTTGTTGAATTTAAAAGAATCGAGAGCGCTATTAAAGCAGTAGTAGACCTAAACGGACGATTCTTCGGTGGAAGACAAGTCAAAGCGGGATTCTATGACATGGAGAAGTTCAGTGCTTTACTGCTTACTGAATAACTAAGATGTAACATAACTAAATATAAGTTATAAAAAAACTTTGATCTTTAATTTTATATTTAATTTCGACCTTTTATTCCAATGCTATATCACGTCATGAAATTTCTGAAAATTGACCCAAAATGTATGTTACCTTATACCGTTCCTCATAAAAATTCATCTTAAAATAATTGGCATTAAAAAAATAGATTTGTTATAACACTGATATTATCAGTGTCATCAATTTCGGCATGGACATTTCAAAAAACATTTATTCCATCGGGGGCATACATTTAACTTTCAGATCAATCAAATAAAAGGCGAAAATATGCGGCGTTGGCAGATCCGTATATATTTGCGCCTTTTGCCGTGGAGACCTTGGGGCCTTGGGGTGCGGAAGGCCGTGGCCTGTTTAAGGAGATTTCCGCACGCCTCATCGACGCCTCAGGGGATCCAAGGGCTGGCGCGCATTTCGGGCAAAGATTGAGCCTGGCCATCCAACGGGGAAATGCCGCCAGCCTCTTGGGAACCCTACCGTGCGACCGCAGCGATTTGGGATCGATTTTTTATATTATTTAGTTTGTTTTAGTTTTAGTTTATAGTATTATTTTGGTAGATTAATTTTAATTTAATTAGTGACTTAATAATTAATATAGAGTTTAGTAATTCAATAATAAGTTTATGTATATATTTTTAAGTTATTACATTTTTCAATACAATGTAAATAGTAATATAGCAGGAAAAAACAAACTATGTAAGAGATCACTGAATCAGATATTAAAAACTTTTAGATTTAACTGGTAACAAGTTTTAATATGACATCTGTCACATCGATATAATAATGACAGATTGTAATGATTATGAATAATGACATTTTTAGACATCAAATAATGTCATTATCAGTGTTCGGATTTCATTTTAGTTGTTTTTTAAATTAGAATTATTTAAATATAAGTTTTGGATCACTATGATCTAGTCGATCTCATTGGCTTTTAACGTTTTGTAAAAAATTGGCTTTTATTACAACACTAAAAATGGTTTTTTATCCTTGTACTAGATACAGATTAGTTGTATTGTTAATGCTTATTTTAATTATGTGGCAAATTATGAGGTTAATACCTACTGAAAAACCAACACCGCAACTGACCGGGGTAAAGTACAGAATATTACTTTAAATCTTCATTTGATAGTCAATGCATTGTGATAAATATTAATAAAACATTATTTTTTACAGTCTGATATAGTGGCATTGGAAGATGGTAACTTTAATAAGCACAAGCAAGACAAAGTCAAAGTTCGTGTGTATTATGAAGCATTATGTCCAGATTCTAAACATTTCTTTATCAAACATTTGTGGCCAGTAACAGATAAATTATCAGATTTTTTGGATGTGGCATTAGTTCCTTATGGAAAAGCGAGTGTAAGTCTTAGTGCATACTTTTGAAAAGCATAACACTAAAATGTACTAATACAAGTTAATTATGGTTTTAAAAATCATTCAATTATGAGTTCTTGTCGCAAGGATTTTATCTCCCAAATAATACTGCCTTTTAGAAAGGTTTCCCTCTTTTTTTCGCATTTAGGGTAGTCATAAGAAAAGTAAGTAATAATCTAATAATTGATTATACTCTCTTAGTGTACTTCTGATTTTACAGACCAAAGAAGAAAATGGTAAATATTACTTTATGTGTCAACATGGGGAAGAAGAATGCTATGCAAATACAATCCATTCTTGTTCAATTGATATTCTGGCCAACATGACCTTGTCTGTTAGGTTCACTGAATGCATGATCACAGATAATATGGATGCAGATAAGGCTCTTGAAAGGGTAAGGGAAATATCTATCTAGAGTATTTGTTCTAATAGAATGTTATTTGCACTTAATAATGGTTTTTATATAATACGTATTTATAAAATCCTTGCAGAATGTTATTCATGCATACTCAACTGAAATTTTATATAACATAATTCCATTTTCTTTATAGTTTAAAATAATTCTCTTTTAAGAACAATCCTTGTTATGGAATGTAAATATAAGGATTTTGTTTTTAAATATTTAATCTTTGTTTCAGTGTTCTCAACAAATGAATATTGATCCTGAACCAATAATTAAATGTGCCTCAAGTGAACATGGTGCGGCTTTACTTAAGAAACATGGTGATGACACGGACATAATTAAACCAACATTTATACCTACTATTACATTAAATGGTTCAAGAGGTAATCAAGGTGCAATTTTAAAGAACTTCCTTTTAGAAGTGTGTAAATTAATTGATATGCCCTTGCCTCCACCTTGTCTATAACGATGAACTTTAACTTGTGTGAATTGCGAATGTTGATACTTAAATTTAGCATAATAAAGGTCCATGTGAGGGCCGATGATTTTTATATTTATTAATAGTAATTAATATACAAGTTCTTTTGGCATTTATTCATTTTAAGAGATGCTCAAATATATGCCTAAATTCCCTTCGCATGATTTTGTTATCTTATCATGAAGGTTAACATAGTTATCATGAGTGATGACTGTGTTACGAACTGTAAATAAAATGTGTCATAAATTATATAACTTTAAAAAATAATATTTGCGTTTATTTGTATAGTCTGCTTGTAACTTATGGGGCTATTTTTGAGTATTAGTAAATTTTTGTTATATATTTATTGATTAAAATTCTAAAATTAGTCACAAAATAACTTTGTACTTTGGATTTGATGTTTAAAAATGCAGAGTACTCTTGTCACATTATTCTGTGCATGTTATACATATTTTTAATAATAATAATAAAAATATTCTATGGCGCCCTAGTACATAAATGAAATACATATCCTTATTAGCATTTCCATGATTGTTTTTTATTAATGTTTGTCTTAGACATTTTGACAAAAACCTAATGTTTTCATAGAATATTTTTTTTTCAAATGTATACAGTATTGATTTCAAGTCAAGAAGTCTTCCTATTAAGTAGAGACTGATTTTCTAATAAAATTTATGAGTTTTGGATATGTTACTTAAGGCCATCGCTCATTTGTGCTTATGTAGCGACAAGACGCAAGTGAGAGCTGGGCCTTAAATTAAATAACTTTTTATTTAAATCTGTACTTATACTGTAATGTAAAACAGAGGTAATAGCCGCATATGCATTTTATTGCATTGTTTTTTTAAGTGTAATTTTTAAGTCATTGATTTTTTATTATTTTTTAAAGATTTTTTGAGATTTTAAAGAGATTGCTTTAAACTAACTTCATAGTTTATTGTCTACTTATTTCACTAATGTTGTGCTTTGTTGTGATTATTTTATAAGCAATTGTCTTAATACATTTTTAACTTTTTTTGTGCTGCATTTATAATTAAAATAATTATTTGTAGAGAAAAACTTGTGTGATACTATAAATAAGAAGTAAAATTTTAAATGATGATGTAAAACTGAAACTAGTTGCAAAAGTTCTATGATTGTCCATTAATTAAATTAAATTAAAAAACAATTTTTTTAAAATGTTTTTCTGTTTATTAAAAAAAAACAGTTCCTTGTTGAAAAGTAAGATAAGACATTTAACAATCCTATTAGAAATTACTATTAAATTAAAACAAGGCTTTTTTAAGTGATTGTAAAATTTCATACAGGTCGGTATGGATAATATTGTATTTGAGTTTGTATAGTTTAAACATTAACATTAAACATGTTATTATATCATGGTGTTTCTAACGAACTCACAATTGTATGAAATATGCATGATACATACTTGACACAAAAGTAATGCCTTTTGCATATCTTGCCACATTATTTTAATGTTTAGTTGGAGTTATCTACTTCAGAAAGTTAAACACGAATGACATGTCATTTTTACAAATATAAATAAATGTATTTATGAACAATATTACTTATTTTATATCGTTTCCTTTAGAATTTAAACATTTAATTCAGTATGACGGCACTTGACAATACGTGTTTTTTTTAAATATTTTTTTATTTGACGTCAAGAATTACCTTAATAGTTTGTCAATTTATTATTATGGGAGGTAATACTAAGCTTATGAGGCCCTTTGTGGATTCTAAAGTAGTAAAAAAATATAAAATTAATTTGTATTAATTTTAGTTTTGAGCAACCGTCCGTCCGGCGCTGTCGGTAGTGATTCGCCTTCGTTTATAATTAGTAGCTTACAAGGATAATCTTACTTAACGTTTTGTTTATCTTCTTAAACTTTGATTGATAAATCTTGTTAAATCGTGATGGGTTGATTATACAAAGTAAGTAAAAAAAAACTAATTCAATAGTATACAAACATTTGACATCATTACTTAGAATATTCCCGTAACATATTATTATTAGGCGATTGCGCTCGCTAAGTGGCACATTAATCACCACGACCATCGCCCCCCAATCTACGCGTCGTAAATAAGAACCGAAATTAGCACCTGTCTCTTTCCAGCGCAATGGGACAAAGTAAACACGAGACTTCAGTCAATTCAATTTGTTGCCCAGTTTGACAACACCAATTTACTCCCGCCTAAATGGCTACCTTTGCTCTAAAAACCGTTTCAAACACAGCAATAAATCTTCACTGAAATCACGGTCTAATTTCGTAAAAGCTCTCGCTTTGCTAATTAATATGAATGGCATTTGCATCCGGCTTTTTCTCGCGCATACCATTTCCAACTATTGTTTTGCAAAGATCCTCACAATTTATTCCTATTTTTACTCGACTGCATCTCGCCGGGAAGGTTATTGAGAATAATAAAACATCTGCTTTTTTGGTTACGACGAAATGAAAGGCTTTTGTGTTCTTTAGAATTCTGAGGCAGAAGAATTGGGGTGTTTGTTCACTGTTATTACAAAATTTCACCATAATTTGGCTTGCGTAACAGTTATTACTTCCGACATTTAAATAGCTCCTGAAGGTAATTATTACACAAAGAACAATTTATGAAACGTTACAAAGATTTTATTAATTTACAATAGGTAATTTTACACACCGACTGTGTTATATTTTCTGATTGCTTTTGCAACGCTTAATAAATAAAAGATGACAATTTACTCGAAAAAAATCAACATTAGATGAACATAATTGAAATGTCCACCAAGTAAAATTGTGTCTGTCTGTGTATGGTATATAATTTTAGTAATTAAAATTTTGCAGTTATTTATAACATAATATTTTATGATAATCAAATAAAATAAATCCTCTTATGCAGGATTAATTGTGTGTAATCATAATACGAGTAAGAAATGTAACATAAATATCTTTAACACTGATAAAACATATACTATATATAAATAAAGATTTATTAACATATTTTTTCCAGATTTCTCGTATTAACTACAATAAATAAATATATTTATGTAGTCAGTTTCTTCAGTATATTTAATTTTTACCTTTATATAAAACATGTTACGAGGATTACATAAAATCAAATGTGGCTGATGGTCGTTAAGCAAGTTTTTTCTATAGAGGAGAGTCCTCACCTACAGTATCACACTTGTTTCGTCCTTTACTCTCCGAGAGCATAAAGCTTGCGTCACATTATGAGATATATATCTCATAATATATACTAGCGACAGCATAGCTATTCATTTAATTTTGGTTTTCTTTCCTTCAATCATAAACAAAATTTTATATTATAATAATATTTTTAACAAACGTTTTAGCTTTGATCGCTTTATCTCAATAAAGTAAGATATGGTTTCTATTTTAGCAACATTCTTTTGTCAACCTTACTACGTCATATTATATGGAATTCTTTAATAGGTATATTAATTATGTTGTCTTTCCTCATGTTACGTCTGCAGCCACAAAGATAATAATCGATGTAAGGGTAAAGAAGGATAATAGCTTTGATATATATAGTTTGGCAAAAGTGTTTGCATACAACACTACAGTCAAACTTGAATAAGAGAGAAACCTCTGTAAGCGACAGTTATTGTACGATCCTGATGGGTGATCTCCATAAGCGAGAAATTCGTGCCAGGGAGAATATCGCAGTCCCTTGGTCTCGCGCTTATTCAGGTTCGACTGTATATACAAGTAGGTAGACTGTCTGTCGGTGTAGCACGGGCCGTGTACTCTCATTAAAACTTTCCTCAGGCTGGGCTTGCACGTGTTTTTAATTTTTATCGAGAGCACTCGTCGTTAGCGGGCGCTGCGGGTTGTGGGGCGCGGTGTGCGGCGCGAGGAGAGCGGGGTGCGACCGCTGCGGCTTTGGGTACTTTGATTGCGGTAATGACGTCTCTCCACTCGTTCCTACTCGGTATCTTCGAATAATTATTTCTTTACAAATTAATGCGTATCTTTTTAATTACTCGACTTCATGTCCCGCTTTTTATAAGACACTCGTCACGTGAAACTAGTTAAAGCTAGCTTTCTAATTCAAACTCAACGTGGAGCCAGAATCTTGCAACTTTGTTGCACTTAACATTTTTCAACACCCAAGTTATACTAGTTAAATCAAATTTTATTTAAAACTAATTAGGTACTTATACCTGCCAAAAGCAGCATTTAAGTGATTTGATAAGCTATAGAGCTATAGACACTTTGACACAAATAAGTGTCGACGTTTTATTACATTATCATCAACCTGCCCTTATCCTTATCGAGGGTGGGCACAGTATGTACTACTCCTCCATACATCCTCCATTTTATTACCTAAAGCGAATTCGAAAACTCGGTCTTAAAAAATAGTAAACCTAAAAATAGGCACAACTATCGATTCGATGTTGCCGTATTTGTGAGCTGGCCACCCTCAAAATAACTGAAAAAAAAACAATGTTTTTGTATCGTATCTTTAGCGTATAAAACAACAACATGCAGACATGACTGTCGGCCGGGAGCCGGGACTGCGCTGCATCAGAGTGAGCGGGCAATCCGCTTAGCACGGTCAGTGCGCCGCCGTAGCGAACCGATCGCCGACGCAAAACACCCTAATGGATTTTTCATGTCGATTGAACACGGCATAGGTATATGCGTGCGAGATTACTAAAACGTTTAATACATATTTCATCAATATAAATCCCAATCCGGTCGTTATCATCAGTTTGTACAAACGGTTCTATACTTTTTTTCAGGAAATAGATTAATTTTTGTAGGTTAACAAACTGAATACTTATATTTTAACATATCGATGTTGAATGTCTGATGGTATGAAATTGCTAAAAGGGTGAATTATTTTGTAAGCTGTCAGTTAACTACCTATTAATTATCGTTAAAGCTGATGTGGGTTCCTGACGTATTGTAAACCATTAGGGCGCGTACGTAAAATTTTGACATAAATGAAATAACTTATGATATTTTAGGTAACAATAGTATTGTTACAAAATTAAATGGTCATGTTAAATTACAAAAACATTGTAATAAAATGATCTAGTGCTATATTTGAATACCGTTTAGTAAGTAGTATAATAAACTAAGTTAAGCTTTTCGAGTTTGATCTCAAGCCCTTAGCAGCGAGATTTTTACAACTTAGTAAAATATATTAGTAAAATCTACGAATGTTTAAATTTATTGAACTTACTTTATTATTTTCAGTCAGACAATAACGGAATCGGAAAAGTCAGCTACGTAGTTTACTTCAAGTTTCTAGAACTACATATTTATGTTCTAACTGTCACTAATATGTTCTTAAAACACAGATGTTTTATTAATTTTTTTAAATTTTCGTAAGACGTTATAATAATCATCATAACCTCACTATCCGTCCCCACCGAGGGGAGTTATTATTATATTATACGAGAGCCTACCCTAAGTTAAGGGTGATTAGGCCATAATCAACCAAGCTGACCAAGTGCGGGTTGGTTGACTTCACACATATTTTTTGAATTTCTTCTCAGATATGTGCAGTTTGCATCACAATGTTTTCCTTCGCCGTAAGAACGTCTGATAAATGTACATCGTACAAATGTAAATCGGAAATCGAAAAACACATGGTACATGGCGGGATTCGAACCCAGGACCTGCAGATTTCAAGTCAAGTGCTTGACCACTGAGCCACCGACGCTCTATTATAATAGTCTAAATATAAATGGCTAACATTCACTCTTAGTAGAAGACAAGCCTCGACCGCGGAATAACACCAGCCCCCGATAGGCTCGAAACTAGTCGGTGTCGATACAGAATAAGTTGCCTGAGTGTTAACCGATTACATTTAGTTTACAGATGTTACATATATGTCTAAGGTGCACAGTTATGTAATTAATATAATAATGTCAAGAATACTAGGAGGCAATTTGAGTAAGTTATTGTCTGTAAGGCGTGACGACTAATTGCAGTCTGGTGTTCAGCTTCGTGGTAATTCATGCGCCGGAAACTTGCCAGTCGCCGCTTCGCCAGGCCGTGATTACAGCTTGTGTTGCGACTAAACCGCTGCGTCTTGTTAATGTGTTAATTGTCACCTACCGCCAACTACACCAATTAACAGCCCGTATCGAGTTGCGTCAGGTAATATAAGCTTAGCAACACGCTGCTTATCATTGTTTTGGCAGCTTGTCGCCATGTGGACGGCATCGCTGCCGGTCTTCTTCACTTTGATTGTCTTTGGCCGTACCGAGAAGGAAAAACCTGTAAGATGTTCCTTTATATTTATTTCTACTGTAACTGTAATATGCTAATAGTAATCCTACACTAGCTTGTGTTATAATTTAAATGTTCTTAGTTTTGGACGCCAGAAAAATAGAAGAGGGAAGTGTTATTGCAATAGTTAGCGAATAGCGATACTTAATAGCTTCTCTCTACAAGTAAATTATCACATGTTCCGTCCTCTTCCTAATATATTTTATCTCCTATTGCTGAATTATTTCATCGTTTTCCTTTTGTCAAATCACGCTATATGTTAAAGTAAAGAGCGAGAGTAAAAATTCGTTTTGACAGCACGAAGGAAACCTCCAAAGGCGTTTAGAGGCGCGATTGTAACAAAGTCAATTTTTCACGTGAAGCAAACGTGCCGCGTAGTCTATGAAACATTTTAGTGTGTCGCGTCGGATGGATGTGGTATGATGGATGAGTGACAGTATGGGAATACAAGCGAGACATTATTGCTCAACGTCGTCTCCGAATACTAAATGTAGAGGGCGCGGCCTTCGCCGGCGGGCCCGTTGACATTGATATGCGGTCCCAATGACACAATAGGACTTTAAACACGACTCGTTAACTTCATCTGCAGATCTTTGTATAAAAACAGGAACATGATGAAGTCAAGTATTAAAAAGTTGTAATCCAGTAAACTCACATAAGTAAGTCTACATTAGTTCCAATGTTGGATCTCTTGTCCATTGCCATGGTTACTTGGTGATGTCAGAGAAATGATAATTATGTATAAAAATTGATTTGTTACGTATCTTATATGTATCTTTTCGCTTAATATACTTTTAAAAATGTGTTAATCTTAATACTCGTATTATTATGCTTAATACTCTAGCAACTTTAATATGTCTGCAAATGTGGAAGAAATATACCGAAACTACAATGGAAACATGCTCGCGACGTTTAAATTAATATTTAACGTTATGATACAAGTTGATGCGCATTGGGTTGGTCCCCATGGAATCTCGACTTAATAATTTTTCTTTGAGAATGTTATCTCATTTTTAATATTGAAGCGACTGCTTTCCCTCGCGCTCCTCACAAAGGTAACGTACGAATATGTAGATCACGGTTAGGCTCACTATGGCACTGAATAATGAAACTACATTGAATACGTGTATGAATCATTTTTGGGGGTTCTAAGCGGGATTAATCTCGGTGCTTCATTCTTTTTAAATTTTTAGTAACAAGGTAGAGATTTTTAATATGTGTAATACTCTTCCATATATTTCTATCAGCCGCCATATTTGAATCACAAACTTTAAATATTCAAGTGAATTATGGAGTGTATTAATTAGTCGGAAATATATTGCTAAAGTCTAGTTTAGAAGCAGGCTTTGAATTACTAATATAAAATGACTGGAAAATACATATTGAGATTGAATATTTGGTTAATTTATTTATTTTAAAATTAAATTGATTTAGTTAATTAAAATAAAAACTTTTAAATGTACCTTATATCACAAAAATAGCTGTTTACTCGATCTAGGTTCGTATCACAATAAATAAAGATACTTTAAATATTATATGTAATGGATATACAGATGTATTATTCAAATATATTTGCAGGAGCTAAGTGATGAAATCAAAGAAATAATCCAGCATGTTCACAACGAGTGCGTCGCTAAGACCGGGGTCGCCGAGGGTGAGTTCACTAAAGAAAATTTTATTTCCGTTTACCTTTGTTTTGCGCTCGCATGCGAATGACGTGAAACATTCGCCGCGGCTAAGCTGCGCGTTATAGTGCTACAATTGTCTTAGAAAGCCCATTTTTATATAATTTTGAGTTTTGATGTCCTTAAATACTACAACTATTTAACTAAAAGATCTATAACTTGTATTGCTACACATATTTTTATATCTTTTTAGATCTAAATTTAATAATAAATATTGTCGATTGAGAAAGAAAATCTACATGTTAACTTATTTTATAATTTAGCTGTCTCACATTTTATATGAATATATTTTTATTAAATATATCACGTCATACATTTCATGTTACGTTTGATAAAATAAGAATTATGTCACCTCTACATATTTTATATAACCTTTACTTGTGAAAACATGTCTCATATTTGCGTACATTAAAGAGTCTTTATTCTACTTGCCCCCAGAGGATATAACGAATTGCGAAAACGGCATATTTAAGGAGGACACGAAATTGAAGAGATATATGTACTGTTTGTTAGAGGAAGCTAGCCTAGTAAGTCTTTATTATTTGATATGATTTGATTATCTTATTATAATTTGTATATGTAATAACTTTAATGTTTCATTAGATAGATGACGAAGGCAACGTTGATTATGACATGATGGTTAGTCTCATACCTGAACAGTATTACGACCGAGTTCATAAAATGATATTTTCCTGTAAACATTTGGGTAAATAAACCAATTATTTATTTTTATATTTCATATATATTTTTTTTTATAATAAATTTTATTTCTTAGACACACCCGACAAGGACAAGTATCAAAGGGTTTTTGACGTTCATAAATGTTCATATGAAAAGGATCCCAATGTAAGTATTCTTTTTATCTTGTGACTGAACCAAACACGACGAGAAAAAATTAAAATACTTGTGACAAATAGTTGTTAAAATATTAAAACAACACAAAAATTACATTTGACAAGAATGTTTATAGGAACGATAGAAAATTATAATTTAAATAACTTTTTACGTTTTAATTGCTTATTGCAATTTATTGTGCCTAAAGTACTTTTTATATTTTGTATAATCTTGTTTCAGTTTTATTTCTTATTTTGAGACTGGAAATTTGCTGACGGGGGGAGATAAGTAATATTTTTAATAAAGTATTTGTGTGTTATTTTAGTATGAGTTCTTTTTATTTAATTAAGTACATAGTCAATATCGTAGAAAGTCAATGAAAGATGACGATTATGGTCTGGTAGCAATATTCTATGGTGAGGTGATAGTTCACCAGACGTTGATACGGCGTCTGTCGATAATAATGTACAATTAAAGGATTATTTGAATTAATAATTTATTAACAATTTCATGTTATGTAAAGTTGCCGAAAGGCGTAAAAATAAGACAAAAAATTAAAGTTTATAAAATGTTGTAGCCGAACCGACGTGAGGAGGATTAGGATTAATAGAATCTTCATATTTTCGTCAGTTAGTACATTAAAAAGTAAAACAATAATGTTTTTTTTAATGTTTAAGTTACATTTTATTTACCTAAGTGTTTTTACAGTGCTAAATCAAGAAATCACTTTGCGTAGGTTACTTTAAAAACATTAAGTACTTGTAAATAAAAACGTAATTTGGCGGTAGCCGCGGGCCTTGGGCTCTTCTAATTTTTTATGAAATCTTTCTCGAGTTTATACAGATTTTGAAAGAAGCAAAATACTAAGGAATTAATTTTCTTGACGAAAATAATTTCTTTGGGAAAAATAAATGAGTTCGAATGTTGTAAAACGTGTAATTGTGATCTTTTAGTGAAATGAAATTCAAAGAAAATCGTTCTACGAGAAGTAATTTTAAAAATCCCGTTTTTGTTTGCTTTTGTAACTTGAGTGGGTACTTAGGAGAGCTACAATATTGAAGTATGAAATTAATATACATTATTTCAGGTACGTTTCCGAGTCATAATGGTTTTTTCTAAGGGTTTACTAATTTAATAGCAATTTTAATATTGTCCTAATTCTTATTGTCTTTCTTTGAGAATATTAAATTTTTGATATAGCTACTACAATAACGTACTTGGTGAGGTTTTAAGTATTTTCAATTTCAGAGGCTCGAATATATTTATAACTTAAGTCGTAAGTCAAACAAAGTTTAATTTTAACACTAAATATTTTACTTATTAAAAAAGTATAAAATCTGATGTTGACAGGATATGAACTTTAAAATTCAAATTACAATAGGAGAGCACGTTATTTAACAACAAAATGACATTCAAAAGACGGAAAAACCGAGGGTCGGAACATCTGCACATAAAGAGGCAATTTGGAGATTGCCAGGGGCGCGCAACCGCCACCGAGAATTGTACTCGATGTATTCAAAAAATTTTTAAAGAAAAATAAACGAAGAAAATATTGCAAGGAATTCATTGCGGTAAAGTAAACAGGAGTAGCTTGTTACTGTGGACAGCGAGCGCGCCGGGACCGACGAGACGCAGCTGAGCCTGCGTAATCGTGTGAAACGAATCACCAACCAGCAAATTTGTATAATAATAATTATACAAATTTGCTGGTTATCAAAATACATTCTCAGAAAAGTTTAAAAACGTATTTTAACGTGGGTACCAACATTGCGGTGACAAATTACTCGGCAATGTTATTTAAATACAACAAGTAAAAGATAAATGAAATTGGCTTAATTTAACAAGGTAGGAAGTAGTCTGAAAACTCGCTGCGGATGTCGCAATTTGGCGCCAAGCCGCAGTAATGACGTCGACGGTGGGTCGCGGCGGTGGCGGCTGGACAGCGCGTACGTGCATTGGCGACGACCACCCTCATCTGCCGAACTCTTTTTTTAATTAAAAATGTGTTCAATATTACTATGTCATTTTGTTACTTTTTCTTAATATCAAACTTGTCGTTAAAGAATAAAAACTTGTGTAATAATTAAACTAGCTCATGAATATTTATAGTTGTGAATTCATACTAAAGGTAAAGAAACAGACAAGATGTATCATCTAGCAATAACTCCAAAATTTAAAATCTGATTATATGTCAGATTACAAGGCTACGAGTTAATATTTTCCATCCTAGGAATCTGTACACCATCATAATTACTAACAATCACAAATAGTTACTTTTCGAACGATTTCTTTGGTTCACTTTAAAAAAGTTTCGTGTCGACAGGTATGTACATACAGGTGTATAAATATTATAACGTTTTACATCATAAAGTAATAATGTTATCTGTCTTTCTAAATTTATATGAATATACAGTAACTTTCAATATGTGGTACACAATTTATATGTAAATACAAGAGTTGCTACGACGGCACTATGAAGTGCTACGGAAAGTACTCGTAGCTTGTAGAGAGGCGGAGTGCGGACCGCGCGGCGACCGGACCTTCCGCAAATTATACGGCACCAGCAACCTTATTGACGATAACTTCTAAATGTAATTGCCTACAGTTTACTAGTTTAAGTAAAATGTTTAGAAAAAACGACATTAGAAAGTTTTGATTTTTGTTTCGTGTAGCAGAAAGGAAGATTAAATAAATAAAACACAAGTAAGTAATTTAAAAAAAATATCAAAGGCCAAAACAGAAATAATACGTTCATCGGTAAATCTTCATTTCTATGATAAAACAAAGTAGTAAACTAGTTATGATATTTTGGTAATTTATTCGTTAAAGCGAAACAATTTATTGGCATGGAGCACGTTCGTGAAACAAAGCAATTATCCAAACAAATTGAGTTAGCGAGTGGCGGTGGGCACCGTCAGCCGCTTCATAGTTCCCTTCAAAGGCCCCGAGCTGCTACTTCGGAAAGGTGTTTGTTTCGGAGGCGCGCCGCAAAATGAATATTGATGACTTTATGGGGGCCGGAGATGATTCGCTAAAAAATTAGCTTCTTTTCATCATTTTATTGCTCCGTGACGTACGCAGTGGAAGCGCTCCTGATGAAGACTAATATTTACGTTAATTATACTTTGTGACGATAAAAGGATAGATTTATTACGGCTATTAAATTTTGTGATCAATTAAAACATAATATTGGAGTGTTATTTTGGTACGACGGAGTAAATATGTCATAATTGACCTACATGCAGCTGTTACGTTTTCATACGGTCAAGTGAACCCAAAATAGTACGTATAAGTTATCTTAATTTCAATTTAGAGTTTAAAGTACCAGTCACCATTAGTCTGGATGTAGTGAGCCTTTCGAAAAAATCTAAACCAAGGACTTTATTTCAAAATTCACTTCCTTATTTTATTTGTTTTGCAAAAAATGAACATATGATAAACATGACACAATATGATAAACAAAATAATAAAGCACCTTTGAAGCAACCCAAGTCAAAGTATGCAATAATGGAGAGTCGGTGGACACATCGGCGACGCGTGTCTTGACGGCTTGTCCGGAAGACACAATTTATATGCAAATTGAACACAAGATACAAGCCAATGATACCGCCGCCGTTGCCGCCGGAGAGCGACGCACCCTGTTTGTATTAACACTTCTAAAATTACTTTCGCACACTGAATACCGTACATATTGTTTGTCGTTGTTTCTTTGACTTCAACGTGACGACGCCGAGCTAAATGTGGAATATCTCTTGATCTAGTTGACGTGAAATAAATTGGCGTAACACAATATTACATTCTTTTGTTCTTTTCAAATACACAAAGTTCTTTGCTGTAGAGTATATATTTTGAATATGTCCCTAATTTGAGGATTTGACTTGGATGATGAATTTATAAAAAAAATATATTAAAAACGCATAAACTCTCCTCATATAGATATATTAAATGTTAATAACAACACAGAGTATGTCTTTGTAAAATAGCTAACATCTTTATTTTACAGGCAATTGCAAAACTGTAAACCACCTGCTGTTTATTTAAATTTTTCCTTTGCGTTCTTCGCTGCGGAGGGTAAATAATAGAAGTATGACTGTGTTAGCTTTTACCTTGCGGCGTTTTCAAAATTACTTGCCACGAATTGAAGTATGTATTACTTTTTTTATAAATTAAATATTTTGTTAGAAGGTTGTTTGATGTAACAATATATTTAATGCTACCATTTTTTTTAAATATTGGTGGTTTATGTAATTACTTATGTAATGCAGAAGAATATAAGTGATATTTTGGCTAATTTAGTTTATTAACAATGATGAAACAAAAGAACGGTTACATAAGACACGCGTCTAGTTACAGTGATTGCATTTTCATTCTGAAGTCGCTTTGACCAAATGCTTTTCGATGTAGTTCATTTGATTAGGATTGTCAATGGATGCGGCATAAAATAACTACGAATTTTAAAATAATGTTACACAAACCGATAAATAAAATTCATTTAACCCGAAGGAAAAGTTAAGTTTGCGTTACAATGCAATCACGATTTACCATTGAATTTTTATAATTAGAGAAGCAATTTTTATTTATATCCATCCATCCGTCTAACAACAACAATCGATTTATTTATTATGAGCTAAATAAATTTGTTTAGTAAATAATGATATTAAAAATTAGAATTGCCAGCTCCATTTGTTAGTTTCAGTTTTTGTGGGCGAAGTTCCGGCGACGGCGACCGCTGGCTAAGCCAATTAGTGTCCACTTGGGTAAACACCGGCTCGTTAGCGGACTTGTGTGTTTTATTCAATTCAATTTACCAACTTTATTGCTGCTTATTGATAGGACATCCTACTTTTAGTTCATTAACACAAATAGGCTCATTGTAAACCGGGACAATTAAAGCATATTGTAGCATTATTTTTACACTGGTAGTTACAAGAGTAACCCAAATAAAGTAAATTTTTTGTACAGAATAACACGGACGTATAGTTTAGAATTAGAATGGTCAATTAATTTATGGGTTAACAATATTAGACACGCGCCTCTAGGTATGAGAATTGGAATTCGTGATATTTATTTTAAAAAAAAACCTTATAGGTCAGATTTCATATTATTTAATTTATCATCTCGATTGTTTGCGTTCAAGTAATCTTTCGAATATAAAGGAACACTCACAAATGTGTGTGTTTATTGTTGGTTGTTACAGGTTGTGTGTTCGTTTAATTGATATTCCTATGGGTAGGAGGGTTGCAAACATTAACATAGCAATGAAATAAAAATGAATCGTTATGAAGGTTTAGTTGTTTGGGCCTATTCAATTCG